TCAATTCCCAGCATCCACATGGTTACTCATAACTATCTATAATGAGATCCGGTGCCCTCTTCTGGTGTGCAGGCATACATGCAGGCAGAACACTGTATACATAACAAATAACTCTTTTTTAAAAAGCAATCAAACAAACAACTGTATCTATGGAAAATTGACAGGTGACAGGCACAACACTACAGACAGAATGGGATGGAATGTTCCATGGTAGAGTATATGGATGTCTTGATCAGGCCACACCCTCAGATATTATACACGAACCAGTTATACAAATGTCTCTGTGGAGAAAGCCGTTGGAAGGCAGACCACAGAAGCAGATCGCTGATGGGTCTGTGGATGACTTCTTTGCCTCACATATTCAGAATAGAATGCTAGAGAAGTAACCTTAGAAATGGTAATTGATACAGCCCTCCCAAAGATTCCTCAGAAAAGCTTTGAAGAGACAGCCTGGTAAGATACAAAATGTTCTGATGGTAATTGCCCACCACAGCCAAACAGTCCACCAGTCATGTGAACAGAGCCTGGAACATCACACCTGTGCATGAGACCACACACACACACACACACACACACACACACACCAGGTATCCCCAGTGGTTAATCTGGCAGCCCAGACACCTCAGAGTCAGAGGGGTCTGACAAGCAGAAGGTTTATTTGAGATTCAGAGTCAGCCAGGTAGGTGGCTCAGCGGGAGAACTCCCAATTTCCTAGCCTGGGCTCCAGAGCCCCATAAACTCGGACTAAATAGCCACCAGCACCGAGAAGGTACAGACACTGCAATTATCTCACCAGGGCTTTAAAGCAACCATCATAACGTGCTTCACTGAACATGTCTGAGACAAATAGAAAAAGATTCTTTACAGAGAAACAGTATGGGAAACAGCCAAGTGTGAATTTTAGAAATGAATTAAAAGAAAAGAAAGCCTCACTACATGAATCAGTGAATTCCAAGACAGAGGAATAGAAATCGCCAAACAACAGAGAGAACAAACCAAGAAACATTAGCTGGATCTCGGAGTCTTGGGGAGCCTTAAGAAAATACCTAACACTTGCCTCATCAGAATCTCTGAAAGGGAAGGATGGAGTGAGCCTGAAAGGAGGCTCAAATAAATAATGTCTGAAAATGACCCAGACTTGATAAAAGACGTCTAGATTTAAGAGGCCAAGGGAATCAGAGCGGAAACGCCTGGAGAAATCCAGTCAAGAATCACCACATGACTTCCGAAGACTTCTGCACCACAGGACATCATGGAGAAGGTGAGGAGGTAGACCACAGGGTGAGAAAGAATACTTAAAGTCATATTCTGACAAAAAAAAATCACAATATGTAAAGAGTTTTGACATCCTAACAAACACAAGAATAAAATCCCCTTTTAAGGAAGCTGGATGGTGGTGGCATATGCCTTTAATCCCAGCACTTGGGAGGCAGTGGCTGGTAGATCTCGAGTTCAAGGCCAGCCTGGTGTACACAGAAAGTTGTAGAACAGCCGGGGCTGCACAGAGAATCCCTGTCTCAAAAAACCAAAACCAATCAACCAAAACAAAACAAAACAAAAAGATGAGTAAAGGATTTGGAAAGACTTTCTTTCTTCCGAAGAAGATACTGAAACAAGCAATAAACCTATGAAAATACACTCAATGTTGTTGGGAATCTCCGTTCTGGTTCTCACTCCCCCATTCCAAACCCTGCCCAGATGTTTAGCTGGGAACTCTACCTCTCTCCAGACTTGCCTTCAAAAAGCAGCAGCTCCTCCCCCGGAGATGCTGGAGACCATACCTGCAGGGTATTAAAGACCCAGTCCCTGGACTTGCCATGTGATTTCCCTCCTGCTTCACCTGAGATCACCCAGGTGAGAGCTGTTTGCTCTGCTTATTAAAACTGGTCTTACTAGTTCCACTGGATTTGGCTTACTGCATCGGTGGAGAAACCCACTACCAGGAATTTTCAAATTATCACTAGTCATAAGAGAAATTCAAACCAAATGACCTCATCACTATGGTGTGTGTGTGTGTGTGTGTGTGTGTGTGTGTGTGTGTGTGTATGTGACAATCAACCTTGAAAGATGAGGGATGTAGAGTGCTTACCTAGAATACACAAAGGCAAATTCAATCCAAAACCAGGCAGATGGCACACATCTGTAATCCCAGCACTCAGTGGTAGAGATAGGAGGATCAGAAGTTCAAGGCCATCCTCAGCTATACAGACAGTAAAAGGCCAGACTTAGCTACTTGAGACTGTGTCGTTAAAAGCAAACAAACAAAAACAGAAAACAAGACAAGAAGAGAAGAGGGGGCTGGAGAGACGGCTCAGCATTAAGAGCACTGACTGCTCTTCCAGAGGTCCTGAGTTCAGTTCACCATATGGTGGCTCATAACCATCTGTAATGAGATCTGGTGCCCTCTTCTGACATGCAGGCAGACATGCAGGCAGAACACTCATACCAAAAAGAAGTCACACACCAAAGGGTTCAATTTCTATGAACTATCCAGAAGAGGTAAAGTCACTGAAACAGAAGTCAGCTACAGCATGGTCAGGGAGGAGACTGATGTGCAGGCTTGGCTACACAAGGAAGTTTTACTTTAGACCAAGGTGCTGGTTCCACATTCTGAATGCGCTAAACCTCCTGTGAACTGTGCAGAGTAAGGCATCTGATCTGGCAATGTTTGGGTCCCACCACAATCAAACATTACCATTTGGGACTTGGGGGATGCTCAGTGGGTGTCTTAGTGGCTTCTCTATCGCTGTGATAAGACACCATGACCAAGGCAGCTCATGGAAGCATTTATTTGAGGCTCACAGTTTCAGAGGATTAGCATTAATGACCATCAGGGTAGGAAGCAGGCAGGTAGGCATGACCCTGGAGCGGTAGCTGAGAGCTACATCCTTATCTACAAGCACAAGGCAGAGGGAAAGACTAGACATGAGCTTTTGAAATATCAAAACCTGTCCCCAATGGCACACTCCGCTTCCCCCCAACAAGGCCACGCCTCCTGATCCTTTCCAAACAGTTTTGCTAAGGGGGAACAAGTATTCAAATATATGACCCTCATTCACAACGCCACATTGGGGCAAAGTGCTTGTCATGCAAGCATGAGGACTGAGTTCAGATCCCCAGCACCTGTGTGGGAAGCCATGGCCCATCTGTAACCCCAGCACTGTAGGGCCAGAGAGACAAGCAGATCTCTGGAGCTCCATGGCAGCTACTGTAGCCAAATGGCGAGCTTCGGGTTCAGTGAGACCCTGTCTCAAAAAATTAAGACCCAGAACAACTGAGAAAGACATTCAACATCAACCTCTGGCTGCCCCATGCTGGTCTATCTGTGTGTCGTCCCCTTCCTGTTCCCCATACTCCTGCCATCTCAACCCACATACACCACAAATAAACAAACAATGGGTAAATACAGACAAATGGCACATAGTTGTTCTTTTGGGGAACTTTCTATAAATTTGAAGTAGTTTCAAAACAAAACTTTTTTGTTGTTGTTGTTTTTGTTTTTGAAGACAGGTAGCTCTGGCTGTCCTGGAACTGACTTTGTAGACCAGGCTGGCCTCAAACCCACATAGATACAACTGCCTCTGCCTCTGGGTACTGGGATTAAAAGCTTTCACCACCATCTCTTGTCATAAAAACATGTTTAAAAGAGTGAAAAGACAAACCAAAATGAGTAAAAGGTACGTGTTACATCCATCACTGACAAACAACTGGTATCCACAATATCTAAATCATGCCTATAAACCACTAAGCTACACAAGCTAATAAAAACGGGCAAAAGACTCGAACAGCCATTTCCTAAGTGGGGAAATACAAATGACCAATTAACATGAGTAAAGAAGCCCAATCTTATTAGTAATAAGAGAAATGCCAGTTACAATCATGGATAACCCATCCCACCATCACCCTTACAAAAGTTATATCTAGCAGCCAAGAGGCGGTGGTGGTGGTGCATACCTTAAATCCCAGCACCCAGGAAGCAGAGGCAGGTTGATCTCTGTGAGTTCTCTCGAGGCCAGCCTGGACTACAGACTGAGTTCCAGGACAGCCAAGGGTACACAGAGAAACCCTGTGTTGAAACCTAAAAGTAAAATCAAATTAAATCTAGCAATGCTAAATTTTGACGATTTAGAATCGTGTTGATTTGTTTTGAGACAAGGCCTCACTATGTAGCCGTGGCTGTCCCCAAACAACCTACATGGACCAGGCCTTTTCTGCCTTCCAAAAGCTGGGACTGAAGTGTGTGCCACCACACCCAGCTTAGCAGAATATGTGGCTACTAGGAGTACGGATGGAGGGTTCCTTTTCAAATCATAATATATTTTATAATCAAGTATCAAAAGGTGCTAGATTAGGCTTTTTTTTTACTTTCCACTTAGGAAAATTCCAGAAATTCATTCGAATAGATTAGCTGTGTCGACTTCTATACCAGAGTCTTGGTGTGTGAAGATTGGAAGGGATCAATCAGTTGGAAAGAGGCCTTTGCTACCCGGCCCAAGTCTTCTTTCAATACCTAACAACAGACACCAGGGGGAGCGATTTCATCACTAAGGCCACCTTTCCTCTCTCTTGTTCACTTAATAGAACTGAATAGAAATTGAGGACAGAAATTCTATTTCCAGTTTTTCTTCTAGCTCTCTCTGTGTTCTTGGGCGTGTCATCTCCTTCCTGTACATTTTCTCATCTATAACGGGAGCCAAGAAGCTTTTCATGAAGGAAATTCCACAATCAATAATTATCTTCAATAAATCACATTGGGGCTCAGGAGTTAGGATAAACGGTGTCTCCAGCCCATGAAGCTGTCCTCGTGAGTGCCCTATGGGACGAGCAAGGAAATCCCTTCTGATAAAATGAAGATAGATGTATGCTCTTGGAAAGGAAAATATAGTAAAGTCAATATAGCTATATTCTTAGAAGGAAGGGACAGGAAAGACACACTAAGTCATGTGTTCCTAATAGTAGAAGACACTACTATTCAGTTTTAGGAACATGGGTAGGCTTACCTTAATTACCATCTTCCAGCTTTTACTATCAGAGTTTGGCTTCCCCATGTCTGCCTGCAGGCATTTCATTTCATTGTCTGGTTTCTTTTACATTAAAAAAAATCAACAGGTTAGTGGGGAACTCACAGCACACCACGGGTCACACAAAATCCCCTTTCCTGGGAGGCCAGTGTTTTTAAGGTAGGATGTTGAGGTTAAATCACATTCCTTGCCAAGATGGCAGTTAGCTCCCATTAGCGTATGTCAAAGGTGAGAAGAGAAGGCTTATTAAGTAGTTATAGAATATGCAATTTACACTTCACTTGAACCCAGCTAGAGTATACAGCTCCTATTGGGAATAAGAATGTTTTAAAGTTAATTAACAAACTATTATAGTGATGTTTAACATCAGGTCTTCTAGAACATGCTACTTGATCCATACACTTAATTGAAGCCATTTACCACACATTCCCTTGTCTCACTGGGCCTTCTGACAGCAGCATTTAACCCTGCACATGCTAAATGTAGACCCACAAGTATCTTACAAGGCAAAATAGACATTAGGGCACAGAGAATTAAAATCCTATTAGAGTGTTAACACTTCAATATTGGCATAACTTAAGAATTGGAAGGTTTTTCTCCCCTGGTTATCCATGTACCCTCTACACTAAGGAAGTAGACAGAGGGAACAGAGGCACAGGTGTGTGAGCAAAAGATTGGAACAGCAGGGATGGAGGAGGGGTCTGAGTTCCTGGGGGTTGAGAGATTAGAGCAGGGGACCTAGGGGTGGCATATGCTCTGGAACCAAGAGAGGGCAGTGAGGGGAGGACCTCAGACAGTGCTAGTATGTGCAGAGGTCAAGAAGGCAGCAAGGGGGTGCTGGAGAGATGGCTCAGAGGTTAAGAGCACTGGCTGCTCTTCCAGAGGTCCTGAGTTCAATTCCCAGCGACCACACGGTGGCTCACAACCATCCGTTATGAGATCTGGTGCCCTCTTCTGGAGTGCAGATATACATGGAAGCAGAGTGTTATATACATAATAAATAAATAAAATCTTAAAAAAAAAAGAAGGCAGCAAGGGAGTTCTGACTAGGAAGACAATTTACATAGGAAAAAATAGAAAATTGAGCAAAAATATAAATATATCTAAATAATGGAATCCACAATCAGAGGCTAATGGAATCCAGGTTAGAGGAGTGACCCACTGAGGGGAATTGCTAGAAAGAACAGACCACTGAAGTGTTGATTGCTGTTGGAGACTAATTTTAATTTCAGACATACCTATATAAATAGCGACAAACACATGTGTACATAAATGCATGCATTATATACCAAATAACACATTTGTGCATGATAAACAGGCCAGCAAGTGAAGCGACCTCAGTCTTGGTTTCTAAGCACCACCCTGCCGGCCTACCATGCCTAAAGTAGAGGGACTTCCGGGACAGGGAAAGAGCAAGGTAAGTCTGAAGTGTCTTCCAGGCTGGAAACTAAGAAATGATACAGACTTGTCAAAAATGTACCACATCCATCTTCACAAGGCTGCCTCTGACCAAATCCGGGACAAGTCAATGATTAAAACGATACTAAGATGGCAGAGGCAGGCGTATCTCCGTGAGTTCAAGGCTAGCCTGGTCTATAGAGTGAGTTCTAGGACAGCCAGGGCAACACGGAAAGACCTATTTTGACAAAACAAGATACTAAGAAAGCTTCAGATGCACTCAGTGGTGAAGTGTGTGAGAGGGCAATCCCTAGCAGGGTCTTGTGTGTATTTGTATATATATACACACATTAAGTAAACTATCTGTCATAGGGTTTCTATTGCGTCCATGAAACACCACTGTCAAAAGCAAGTTGGGAAGGAAAGGGTTTATTTGGCTTGCATGTCTAGGGAAGTCAGGACAGGAACTCAAACAGGGCAGTAACCTGGAGCTGATGCAGAGGCCATGAAGGAGTGTAGCCAACTGGCTTGCCCTCAAGCCTGCTTTCTTAGAGAACCCAGGACCACCAGCTAGGGTCAGCACCACCCACAGTGGGCCTCCCCCATCAATCACTAATTAAGAAAATGCCCCATAGGCTTGCCGACAGCCTGATCTTATAGAAGCATTTTCCACTTTGAGGTCCCCTGCCCTCCGATGACTTTATCTTGTGTCAAGTTGACGTAAAACTACCCAGCACACTATCCTTGAGATATGTGAGACATTCTCACAAATTATCAGGCCCAAGAAAGGAATCATAGAAACCCAGACTTAGAATTGGTCCATCCAAAGCATGGGAGAGCCAAGGATTGGGATTGGCGCCTTCAATAAAAGCAGTTTGGGAGACTGTGTTCTCAATCTGTGGGACCTGATGCTAACTCCAGGTAGCGGTCAAATTGAATAGTCCATTTCTGTCTGAAGAACTGAATTGTGGGCTTGTATCACACAGGTGCACACACACACACACACACTTGGGGTCAGAAATAGTCTGCCATCAAAGGGGAGCATACTAACCCAACAGAATGAAAGCATTGATCTCTAAAACTGGCCAGGGCATGAGTTATAGGGAGAGACTAAGGCATTTCTGTGCCAGGATGAAGGACACTGAAGCAACCAGACTAGATGTGAGAGGTGTTTCTGGAATGACAGTAGATCAGAAAGCAAAAGGATGCTGTTGGGATAATAGTAGAAGCCTGGCAGAGTCTGTCCTGGAGGTGGGTTTGGCCCTAGGTGTGTCTCTGGAGTGTGATAGGGGGGTTCCTTTGAGGTCACCAGATTGTCTGCCCAAGGGCTGGAGGCTTCATGTCTACAGTTTGTTTAAGAGAGTTCAGAGACACAACCCAACACATAGCAAAAATGATACATGGTAACAACTGGTAAAAAGAATACAGTTCTTTATCCTGCTCTTGCCACTCTGTAGCTGTAAAATTATTGCAAAGTAACTTCATTTTAAACTGTTCAAAGAAACGGAAAAGGATGTAGATGTAAGATTAAGGAGAATGAGTCCTCAACACCAGGGGGCACATAGCCTTTTTGGTTGTTATTTTTTTGAGTCAATGTCTCATAATGTAACTTAGGCTAGCCTTGAATTTGAAGTGCTTCTGACTCAAGTCTCCTGAGTGGTAGGTTGTGGGACAGAAGAAAACCAAAAATCTAGGGACTATTGTCAAAACTCTGTTATCTCCCCAAACTTCTACTTCTCCCCATACTTTTTTCATCTCTATGGTACCTTTCTTGAAATGAATGTCTATCAAAACTTTAAACTTTCCTGCCAGGTGTTGGTGGCGCACGCCTTTAATCCCAGCACTCGGGAGGCAGAGGCAGGCGGCTCTCTGTGAGTTCGAGGCCAGCCTGGTCTCCAGAGCGAGTGCCAGGATAGACTCCAAAGCTACACAGAGAAACCCTGTCTCAAAAAAAAAAAAAAAAGAAAAGAAAGAAAGAAAAAGAAAAACATTAAACTTTCCACTTTGATATTAGTAATGTTTAAGTTTTCCACAGTGAACAAGAAATTTTCCTAACAGCAATCTCTAAAGTCTCCAGAAAGAAGATGGGGCCCCACAACAATAATTCCACTTGGTTCATAATGATGTCATTGAGCCGATAAACACCACTCAAGGATCAGCTTTGGACTAAACACTGCTCAAGACAATTCCAATTTGACTAGCTGAGATGGTTCACCTTCTTACAACACTCTAGCCAGAACTTCAGGTAAGCCTTACCAGCTAAGCAGAGACTGACTACAAATGTTACAGCTTTTTTTTTGGGGGGGGGGGGGGAGACAGGGTTTCTTTGTGTAGCTTTGGGGCCTATACTGGCACTCATTTTGTAGACCAGGCTGGCCTTGAATTCACAGAGATCCGCCTGCCTCTGCCTCCCAAGTGCTGGGATTAAAGGTGTGTGACAATACTGCCTGGCTCCTCTTGAGTCTTAACCATTGTTTTAGTTTCTTGTTTGTTTTGTTTTGTTTACAGGATCCCATAGAGATATTGTTGCCCCCAAGACAACTAGAAATAATTCTAAGAAAACCACACCTCCCTGTCTCCCAACAGTTGAGATGGATAGTTTTGGTTTTTCTCAGGGTTGGGGCCATAATAATATCGTTTGGTATATAAAAAAAGGGGGAATAGATAGAATAGGATAATAAGGTAGATTAGTGTATCTACTTGTAAACTATTTTAGCAACTATTAATTATAGACAATTGACATTGTTATAGAATCTTGCATATTGATATATATGTAAAATTATTTTTGTATTCCTGTCTAAGATAATTTGTATATTGATACAAATTCAAAATTATATTTGTCATATTCTGTATGTTCCTATTTCTGTTTACAATGTTTTTGTACAGAAATGCAAAATTATTTTGTCATACTGTATATATGTATGTCTCTATATCTGCTTTAGATACTTCATATATTGATACAGCTTAAGGATATTTTTGTCATATTGCACTGTACATTTTGTACCTCTGATCAAGATATTTTATATATATATTGTCACAATTTCGAGGTCATTGTCCTCATGCTGCATATCTGTTTAGAGACTGTTTATTTTTATAATGGGAAGCTTTAGTCTGTAAATTGAGAATTACAGGTTATAGTCACCCATGTTTGTCATACTCATAGTTATGTTAGTTATGTTCTCTAGATGCACAGAGTTGTACTCCGAATAGATAGGTAACCTTCAAATACTTCAGAGACAGAGACCTACAGAATAAAGCATTTAAATGCTTCAATAATTTAGAATTCTGTTGACGTGAGACACATCTGCTCCTGGCAGCACCAATCCACTCCTGAGAGGATGTTGGGCAATGAAGACACTCCATATGAAGCTTGTTTTCCTCTTGGCATAACTGGTCTTTTGGGCAAAGAACTGCCCTTGCCTCGACTGCTGACAGTATGAACGCTGCCCAAACTGGACAAGCAGGATACAAGGAAAAGCTACTGCTGAATCTTGCCAAGACAGGGCAGGACAGTCTTTCAAATCTTCCTGCTTCTGAAAATGATCTGTCAGATATTCTAAGCCTAAAACCAAAGTTGGATGCCCCCGCATTGCTAAGAGACTTTGGGTGACTGTCCAGGTAGCCAGCTGTTTCTGTAACTTTTTTTACACCTTTTGGAAGTGGCT